TCTGAGCCCAGATGATTCATACTGGGAGTGTGTTTGAGAAGTTCAGGCCTCATTCTCACTATCGATCTTTTCCAGATCAGCGCAGGCTCGTTTAGTGGGTGGAAACATGCTTTGCACGCACGCACATGCACACGCACACGCACACGCGCACACGCACACACACACGCGCACACACACACACACACACACACACACACACACACACACACATTTCCGTACCCACTGTATATATATATATACACATACATATATATATATATATATAAAACCTCTAGATTTACTGTAAAAGAGTAATGCTTCTTCAGACACGTCAGCATGTCTGTAAACAGTCTGAACTCATCGCTCCCGCGGCTCCGGCTCCCGTCAGCTCAGATCTGCTCGCTGCGTCTCAGAGATTTGCTCTTTTAATGCTGCTGGAGTGTGTGAAGTCCATTGTGTGTGGCTCTTCACACTTTATGATTTACATCAATAAACTTTATCACCCTCACACACTCTCTCTCTCTCTCTCACACACACACACACACACACACTCCCACACACTGACTTATGAGCCAATTACGTGAGGATAGAGGGCCGAACTCACAGGAAACATCAAAGCTTGTAACTCAAGAGCCACTAACCACTCTCTTTTCCCTGAAATCAATGCCCACGGTGGTGATGAATTTGGGGTTGAACTTGTTGTCGGTGTAGCGGTAGAGGAAGGTGGTCTTGCCCACTCCGGAGTCCCCGAGAGCCAGGAGTTTGATCAGATAGTCGTAATCTCCATCGGTCATAGTGCTGGCGGAGCTGAACCTGCACAACAAACAGCATGAGGATATTACAGCAACCACAATAAATCAATACAAACAAACACACAAACACAGTGAGCATATTAAATCCACCTTAATAATTCAATACAACAAACATACAAACAAACTCCATGGAAATATGAAACCAAAGTAAATCAATGAAATCACAAGGGTTGTTACAGTTAACTAAAACTGAAATATTTTCATTACTTGAAATAAAGTTATTTCACGTAGTTGCTAAGGCAAAATTTCTTATTTTAATTTATTTTAACAATGTACTAAAATAATTGCAAATAAAACTGAAACAATAATTAATAAAAACTATACAGACCTATAAAAAAACAAAAACTACTAAAAATTACAAAAACATTATAAAATGACAAAAACATGAAATAAAAATGTAAAACAAAATAAAAAATAAATATTTAAACAAATTATAAAAAACTGTAAAGTTTTTTTACTAAAACAATTAGTAAAAACTATAATTATATCTTAATAATACTAAAAATAAAACTGGAAATCACACACAATTAAATAAAAATAATAATAGAAGACAGAAAAACAGGTACTGTAAATAAGAGACAATCATTGAAACTACATTAAAATTAAAATGACATTTAATAACTTTTGAGCAAAAAGTTGCGCAAAAATTATGTGTATATACACTGATATTTTATACTATCAATAAAAATTGCTAAATATTATTTCATTTTCAAATATATATATATATATATATGTGTGTGTGTGTGTATACTGTAAAATGTATTAAAATTGCATAATAAATGTTTTTTGTGTATGCACGTGTGTGTGTGTGTGTATACATATGCACACACACTCACATACATACATATATTCTGCAATTATACAACTCTGCCAACTCTGCTCGCTATTAAAAAGCCCATATTGCTCAACCAATAACACACATCAAGGCCAAAGAAACCAGAAAGAGACAGGTTGAACAATATCTCAGTGTGACGGAACTGCGTCTCTCTCTCTTTCTCTCAGAAGGTCTCAGGGTCCAGTGGGCCCCCGTGGCCATTTCTACAGCGCTCAAATAATCTCATTTATACGTGTGGGCTGGAGATGCTGCAGTAAACACATCACAGCCCACAGCAAACGCTCAGCGCTCACACATTCACTAGAGTTCATCAGAAAGAGATGAATAGAGCTTCATTCATCTGTGAGCGGCTCGTCCAGCTCATGACCCAGAGCCGCTTCCTCATGATCAGCAGATCTGTGGCGCTCTGTGTCTCTCACACACATCATCATCACATCTCTCACACCTCACCGTCTCCTAAAAATAAAACATGCCACTTCCTGTCTGTGTTCAATCTTGATTCACTGAATCCCAATGCATATGTTTCTACAACGTAAGAACTCAGCGAACCTGTCATGTTCAGCACACATTATAACACAAGAATCTGAAGAAATATTCTGTATCAAGAAAATGAAATCAGATTTTATCAGACATCACAAGTTAATTGGGCAATTTTATAAAGCAATTTTATTACATCAGTAAATCCCCTTTACAGAGGGGATTTTATCACTGCAAAAATATGAAAATACTGTCAACAAAGAAAAAAAAAAAAAAATTTCACCATGATTTTAGAAATAAAATGTCATATAAATCAGTGTGAATGATATATGAACAAACCCCTCAGCAAAAACCGTATGAATATAGATAGGAATAAAACTGCTAAGTTTGGTGTAAGTTCTGCCGAAGTGGAGAAAAAACTCAGTCTTTAAATATATCCATTTTTACCATGTTTTTACAGGGTAAAATGTCATATAAATCAGTGTGAATGATATATGAACAAACCCCTCAGCAAAATCCTTAAGAATATAGATAGGAATAAAACTGCTAAGTTTGGTGTAAGCGCTGCTGAAGTCGAGAAACAAAGTTTTAAAGTATTGGAACTAAAATCTGAAATCTACAGTAGCAAATACATGTGCAAAAAAATAAACACCTAAATATGTATTTTTGCAAGACAGGTTATGGAAGCAAGACCAAAATCTCAAAATTGACCAGTGCACTTTCTTTTTCTTTTGGGCTAAAACATGACACAAACATGTTCTTGACAGGTTTCATGAGATTCATAATTTACCCGAGACAGCATGCATGGATACTTAGTGAATATTAGTGTAAATAATCACAAAAACATAAGCATATCTCAAGCACTAATGTCACTCAGAAGACACTTTTATATGAAGTGATGTGAGAAACATCTGAAATTCAATCTACTAGTCAGAATCAGAAGACCAACCCAAACCCAGAGGCTGTGGAAGTGTTCTGTGTGTTTATGTTAAACAGTGTTGACTGACAAATTGGAGAATGTCACATGTATGTTGTTCAGGGGTTTGGAACACAAGACAGAATTTCATATTGATTTCAGTAAAAGGTCGTGTACATTTGCCTGGAGGGGTGATTGTACCGCACACAGTGTATTTAAACCACAAAACATCAGCGTAACTAATGCACAAGTGTCCAATCACGGTGAAGACCATGACTATCAGGACCTTACAATATCTACAAATACAAACAAAATGTCTAAACAGAATATCTTACATATCTACAAATACAAGCTCTTTTATTTGTGCATTCACTTACAGAAATAAAACGAACTGTATGACTTGAGGAATGTATTGAGCTTACTGATAAGTTAAGATCAACTTTATTTTCTCAAGGGAAATTTGTCTTGCACACATACAATATGATATCTGCTGTTTAAATACGAGTAACATAATACTTACTAGGGCTGTGCGATATTGAAGAAAAATGCGATATGCGATACCTTGTTAAAAATGCGATATTCGATATGCGATACGATATTGCTTAAAGTGTGTAAAATCAATTTAAATGATATTTTAAAATATTTAAAAATGAAATGCTGTGCAGGGTGTGCGGCAGAACTGAAGAGACGCTGTGCGAGATGCGGCTTGTGCGCGTGCGCGCTTCACATGTGAGTCAGACAGCAAGACGAGACGGCAAAGTTGTTTTCTGCAACTTATTGCACTTAATAACTCTTTTTAACGTAACATGTTTTTAACCTTTTGCAACGTTTTGATTTAAGTAGCTTATTATTAAAATGATAATGATATCGCACGCCGTTGCGATATGCATATTGCGATATTTCGATAATTTCGATATATCGTGTAGCCCTACTACTTACATATAATACATACAACAACCGATCACTAGCCTACCCACAATATACAGTTTATATATATATACTACAATAAAACAACTAAATTGCACACTGCCCATCGCGCAACACACCCATAATCATCGCAATCATATGTACAGTATTTACAGACACCAGAAGGGAAATTTTTTAAATTATAATTGTTAACCTCTAGCTAACTTACCATTTAATGCTTTAATGGACAGAGGGACAAAAGTCTATAATATTTGTGTGCATTTTGATGCATGCAACTGAGAATTGCTTTTTGTTGCTTGCAATTATGAAATGAGTTATGATGCATTCAATTACAAATGCATTTTGCTGCACACAATTCCGAAATGCGTTATGATGCATTTAATTGTGAAATGCATTTTGCTGTGTGCAATTACAAAATGCATTTTTTTTCATGCAATTACAAAATACATTTTCATGCATGCACTGTGGAATGCAGTATGAATTTGATAGAACCTTAACAGCATTAATGTGAAATTAAACATGAGACCAGTGTTGTGTTCTCGGTCTCCTTCAATGCACATCTTTTTAGTTTACTTCTTCCACATTGTTCAAAACTGGCTGAGAACAGACCTGTGCAGACAACTCGGCATTTTTCAACTGATATTTCAAAAGAGAAATCATTCGTCCAGAAGCTGAGACATCTGACTTGAAACTAGGGCTGCACGATAAATCGCATGCGATATTTAAGGCGCATCTTGTCAGTTGCAGCCCTACTTGAAACTATAACAAGCAGCAAACAGAAGCAGAAAACAATGGTCAATCAATTTACATACAAAAATCTGTTTTTCTGTTGTTTGTAATTGGTTTACACCTTAATCAAATAACGCTGCACTGGCCCAAGAAGACTGAACAATCACATATTGACTAAAGTTTGAACAAAAGAGTCAATCTAATATGATTTACGTCTGACCTCAGGCACACTGTGCTCTTCAGACTCTTTCATTCCCATCACAATGAGCTTGAGCTCATTAGATTAAACACACATGCTCAGTGGAACCAGACTGACGTGGATTCAATGAGACTTCAGCTCTGTGCAGAAGCCTAGTGTATAGAAACACACATGCAGCCATATAACCCCCCCCCCCTCCGTAGGGTCTCTGCGCGACATCTGTATCTGTGCTGGCAGTGAAGCTGTGGAAAGGTTATCTGTGCTGTGAAACGCCCTCAGAGGTCGATGTTACACAGGGACCAAATCGGGCCAGAGACCCCCTTCCTCCCATGAGCCCTGCGGCTGACAAACCCTGAAAATCACACACTAGATTTCTATATTCACTGAAGATGAGCAAAAGACAAAACCATGATGCCGGGCTGCAGTGGCTGGTCGCCATGGTGTGCTATGCGGTTGCTTAGGTGTTCTGAATGACTTTTAGCATGCTCATATCAGTGTTATTTTAGGATCAGAAATATACTATTATAGCATTTATTAATAGTAGTATTTTCCATTTTCAAGAAGTTAAGTTAAATCTAGTTAAAGTTTTAGTAATTTTGTTCTGTGCTTTTGTCATTTTTATTAGTCTATTTAATTTTTATTACTTTTTTAGTTTTAGTTTTAGTAATTGTATTACTGTTGAGGTGAGGTGTGTTTAAATGAGAAATGCGCGCCTTCACGGAGTGGATCAGGACAATAATATGGACAATATTTTTTTAGCGATTAACAACTTAAATACTGCTCTGCACCTCACACAAACCTACTGTATTCCGTAATTGTATTACTTCAACTTCAACTAAACAAAAATTGAAAAACCAAACTTTGTTCTGTGTTTTTCATTTAGAAATGCTGCCATGGCAACTAACTGAATATATTATT